GCCTATGAAGCGGTATGTAAGTCTAACTGCTATTGCTATTGCTATTTGAGCTGATCGGGGCTTCCGCGCACGTGCATAGAGTGTACGGCACCTGCGCGACGCTCCGTCGAGCAGCTGGAGCATCACAGAGCGTCACGGGCGATAAGTACACATGTGCATGCTGCACGCATGCATGTGGTAGACGCCTGGCCCTGTTGCACCATACCAGTTGCAGTAAGATCCGGAACCCACCACTGCCATGGAAGTAATGTTCATGGCCATCTGAATGAGTGTTGTAAATATTCAGTACATGCATCTTTGGAAAAAGGACTATTGTGATAGGAAATGTCCATTGCTATCCAAGACATTAGGTTTCTCTCCAGTTGGCTTAAATTACAAGTGGATTGACTGCAGCTGAATGGTAGGAAAACCTGCTTTCCTTGACAGAAGATTTTCAGAGATTTGTGTTTGTTTACAAAGATCTTGTGTGATTTGCCATTGTCCGTTTCTTTGAAAAGCACTGAGCCAGGCCCAAGTCATCTGATCTTATAGGGCTATCTGTAATAGTAAAACACTGTTGTTTACAGGTAGTCCTCAAAGTACAACTACAGTTGAGCCAAAAATTTCTGTTGTTAAATGAGACATCTGTTAAATGAATTTTGCCCCATTTTAAGACCTTTCTTTCCACAGTTATTAAGCAAATCATTGCAGTTGATATGTTAGTAACCTGGTTAAGTGAATCAGGCTTCCCCATTGACTTTGCTTGTCAGACGGTTGCAAAAGATGATCACATGACCTCGGGACACAATAACAGTCGTAAGTATGAACCAGTTGCCAAGCAGCTGAATATTGATTACATGATCATGAGGAGGCTTCAAAGATCATAACTGTGAAAAATAGTCATAAGCCACTTTTTTCAGTGTCGTTGTAACTTTGAACAATTAAACGAACAGCTAAATGAACTGTTATAAGTTGAGGACTACCTGTTTCAGTAGTAGTAGTAGTATAGTAGTAATAATATATTACTAATAGAAATAGCATAATGTAGCATAGAAGTACAAGTAATAATATACAGTGTAATATAATAATAATAGTGAATACAGTATAGTATCAATAGTACTATAGAATAGTAGTAGAACATTGTGTAACATCAATAGTAATAAAGTACAAGTAATCCTCAACTTGTGACTTGAGCCCAGAATTACGGTCATACGTCATGCTGTTCATTAATCAAGTCATGATCAACATAATTTCATCACATTTTTGTAGTGGTAAAATCAACATAAATATAACTGTCTCATCTGAATTTTTCCATTATACTAGAGATATTTCATCTGGCTTGACATTTTGTCCATTACATTCCAAGCTTACTATACGGTGATCCATTGAATCAAAGTTTTACTGTATATATGAGCATCCATACAATCACACATAGACCATACCTTTAGGAAATCAAAGCATCTGAGCATGTAGGCTACTTTCTCGGCATTCTTTCCCTCATTAAGGAAATCAAGTTCAACAGGCAAGTTCTTCTTAGCTTCATCCACTAACCACATAAACTCAAAGTCTGGGAATATTTGCTTCACAACCAAGACAAGGATCTGAAATCATAAATCAATAACCTTATTGGGTACCATGCCATAGGAAACTAACACTGGGAGACAATCAACATGCAATAGGAGTGCACCTATATATTTAAATACAGAACTGTACCAGATGCAGAGGAAGGAGAAGGATTCCATTTTTTAAAGGAAGTAAAAGTACATAATCATCCACCTTTGGCTACTACCTTTACACTATGGGCACAGTCCAGAGTGTAAATTGCAAAGAAATGAATGAGAAGATTTATCAAACAGCAAAGCTCCAAAAGCAAAAATGTGCATGATATGAGTGACCTGTAAATTTGATATATAAATTAAATAAATCAAAGAAATTCTAGAATAGTGGATAGAAAATGGATAGATAGAAAATATCTCTCTTTCTCTCCCTCCCTCTCTCCAAGATTCCTTCCAGCTCTGTTATTCTGTTAGTTTGTTCTAAAGTGTGACGTCATGTGACTACATGACAGCAACCCTGGCATTCCCTGTTACTGTCGTTGAGTGAATTCTGCCAATGGTTAGCCAAGGATCCACCCCAATCCAAGCCATACAAAGCTTGGTCTCCTTCAGCTCCAAGCTTCAGTAAGGTAACAAACTGCCTCCAACTAACCCCAACCACCTACTTCCCCATCTCTGCCCTTTGGCCACATTGAGAACTACATATGGTAAATCTCTGTGACCAGAAGCTCCTTGAAACTACACACCAAGAATGGTTGCTAACACTAGTTTAACTTCAAAAGTATTTCACGGTTAGGCTATCATTTCACATGATCAATTTCTACACCTGTACAAGGTCATATGATCTTACCATTCCCATCTTTGGTAAATAGGAAAGGAATCGTTATAGCTGAACTCTTAACATAAATTGGAAGGGATTAATTTAGACCACTGCATCCAACATTCTGTCTAGTGCAGGGATCCAAATTAAAGCATTTTAGAGAAATGATTGTCTAGCCTTTGAATGAACATATCACACATTTCTGTATAATTGGTTCCATTTTTGAGCTGCTCTTGCTGTTAAGAAATGTTTTCTAACATTCAACCATATCTGTCTTCCTATAATTTAAATTATTATTCTGTGTCCTGTACCCTGGGGCAAGAAAGAACATATCTTGTTCTTGTACATGACAGCCTTTCAAGTATTTGAAGAGCGCTATCATATCTCCACTGGGTTGTCTTTTCTCAAGATTAAACATACCTAATTCCTTCACAGGACTTAATTTCTATTCCCAAATCATCCTTGTTACCCTTTCCTGGATCTGCTTCAGTTTCTCTGAAACATTATTAAAATGTGGACACAGTACTTGAGATGGGATAAAACCGAATATAGCGGAATTCTATTAATTGCAAAATATATTTCTGTTGATGCAGCCTGAAATTGAAATTCTTGTTCTTTGCAGTCAGGCCAACCTGCTGCCTCATATATGGTTTGCAATCAACTATTTCCAAGGTCTTTCTAGACTTCTATTGGGGAGCAACCCTTCATCAGCTGAAATGGGGCAATTTGCTACTGCAATCCTTTGACTTTTTTAGAATTACTATGAGTTAGTGTTTGCTGCAAATATTGTATATACCCGTGATGGCGGACCTATGGGACGTGTGCCCAAAGTGGCAGCACCCGTTCCTCTTCCAGGTTTCTGCCATGCATGCACACACGATGATCACTTGGCTTTGTGCAAGCTGGTCTTCTGTTTTCTGGCATGAGCATGAATGCAGGCCAGCTGGTAGGTGTGTGTACATGTGCGGCAGTAACCAGAAGACTTGCTGGATGGGGTGCATATGCATGCCGGAAACCAGAAGTTCATTTTCCGGTGTGTGCATGCCCCTGGGCAGCTCCTCTTCCTGGTTGCGGCTCAGACGAGCGTGCACACATGAAGTGCTCCCTTTTCAGACTCGGTGCTGAAAAGGTTCCCCATCACTGGTATATAACAGGTTGTTTTCAGGCAGAGAGGCAAACTTGGACCAATGCTTCAGATCGGAATTATAGAATCCTGTCCATTCATTTTCACTTTTGCTTCTTAAGGTTTCATCAGTGGGAAAAACGATTGTTTCTGCTTTAATTCTTAGAGTTCAGGTTAGGATAAATTCTTTACAGTAGTTAGCAGTGATATTTGTTCTGGATTCCCTTTTAAATTGCCACAAAATGTGCCTAACAAAGGTCTATTCAAATGTTTTGTGAGCTTGCTCCCTGGAACATGGTTGTCTTATATTCTTCTTACAGTCTCTGTTTACCTTCTAGGAAGCATTCATTTAATCAATCTCAAAGGACAGTCAGGAGCTCCCAACCTAAAATGACAGAACTGAAAAGAGACAAACTTACCTTTGGTCAAATTACTTTTTGGAGGTGATTGCATTACATAATAAATACAAAAATAGAGAGAGAGAAATCTTACAATACTGGGAATCTTTTTTCCAAACTATCACCCAATAGAAAAAAATGCTGGTGTTTTGAATTCAAGAAAGCAACTTAAAGGAGCAAAATTCATATATCACATTTTCCACAGATTGGTTTATATACTGGATGTTTAGTCTGATTTCAAAAACTATCTTAAGTTAACAAGAGTTTCTACATTGAATGAATTTGAAGATGGAGCAAGATAATTTATGAACCAAACCAAACCAACTAAAAAACAATTCTAACTCTGCCATCTTGTACTTATCCATATTTTTGCAGCCCAGACACACAGATGTACTATACATCATATATTTGAGGTACAGGATGTAATAAAGATTTGATGTACTGAATAGCGTACATGACTAAAGTGGCATCCACAGAAATGCCCTTTCTTGCATATGCCCTGTACAGCCATGAAATAAATTTTGACTGGAAATGTTTCAAATCACCTAAGATGTTTATGATATAAATTGTAAAGGTCTCTGATTTAAGCAAGATAAAAGAACACATCATTGCTCCACATCAATTTTTTTACAATGAATCACTCTGTTGGTTTAATTTAATAGGATTGAGAAAGTATGAAAGAGAACAGGCCAATATAAGTTATCCCGTCTTTCTATTTTTCTTTTCGCTGCTGAATCACAACATTGTGAGGTTAAAAATCTCCAGGGCTAGCTTTTTCAATATGGATTAGTTAATTGTTATCAGAGTTTCACTGGGGCAATGTGCCTTTAATTGGAAGTTTCCTCTTGCTTTTACCCTATAATTGTTCACTATGACAGCAGAAGCTGCTAAAAACAGTCTTTTATTGCTAATTAATTAATCTGCCCCTTTCTGTTTCCTGCACAGGATTTTTTTCCTTATTAATTCCTTCCATGTTTTTTATAATAAGAACAGCTCTGTTTTATCAGGCTAAAGTCCGTTGTAATCAACTTTTTTTTCCTTATAATGAGCAACTAGATGGCTCTGAGATGCTTCTAAGCAGGAGATGGAATCATCATCTTTTACCACCACTGTTCCCCCTACAAATGGTATTTGACAATATACTGCTCCCAAACTACAGGTAATACTGAGTGTGAAAAAAATAACAGCCCTTCATAGACCTGTGTTCCAAGAAGTTATCCAATTTCTCTTTTAAAGCCTACAATGAAATCTTAGTCTTTATTGAAAGAAAAGGAGCAAAAAGCGACAGGAAAATAATGTAGAAAACTGGCTAATTAGTGGGTAAGAAAGTAATAATAACATCTTGCTGAATAAAAAAATAGCAACAGAAGCTAAGAGAAAGAAGCTACTAATTAATTTTGCAGGGGGCCTTTGCAAAACAATCAGAGTAAATGCATCCAGGATCATATTAACCATAGCATGGAGCTATTGCATGAAATTGCTGGTTTTAAACACTGATCCTGGAAACTGGAAAAGCAGTACCTCCCCAGAATGGATGCTTTACTATGGAAACACCTATCTTGGAAAAAGAGAGATGGGATGGGAAATAGATGAGAAGAATGCAGATTTAAAGCACATCTCGTTGAATGTGGTCATATGGTGAAGAAACCACTTTAGTTTGCATTATTGAAATCTAGATAGAGAAACTGGAAGAAACTTAGCTATCCTGTTCACAAAAATTCTGATGTATTGACAATGCAGGGCTAAGAATAACACAGTTGTCAAGGTGAATATGTGTACTGTCTACAATCTTGGTCTCTCTCACCAGGATTCCAGTTTAGCTGAATATCAAACTGAGGAAAAGAAAGGTCTTTATTCTTAGACTTAACAGTCTCCAGAACTGATTTCTTCAGTCATTGCATAACATGTGATATATAATAATGGTGTTAAATAAGTGTCTTGACATAGTCAAATTTGATAAGTTGACACAATAGCAATAACACTAAAACCTGTATACCACTAGTGCTTTACAGCCCTCTCTAAGCGGTTTACAGGGTTAGCTTATTGCCCCCAACAAACTGGGTCCTCATTTTATCAACCTCGGAAGGATAGATGGCTGAGACAACCTTGAGCTGGTGAGGATCAAACTCCTGGCTGTGGGCAGTGTTAGTCTGCAATACTGCATCCTAACCAGTGTGCCATCAAGGCACAATAATCAAACCAAAACATATGACTTGTAAACCAAACTGAACAGGTTCACATACTGAGCCCAAAGAAAGAAAACACAAGACAATTTAGTGTGATACTGCCCTTGTGGTAGATATATGTGTTCTGATTGTGTTAAACGTGATTTTCACAACCTTTTCAGCACCAATGCCATAATGTAGAAATAAAAGTCAATCGAAATAGAAGAATATGGGGAGAGCAGGGCTGACATCGCTACGACACAACATGTGGGATATCTCTGTTAATATCTCTGCTGCTGGACGGTCCTTTTGGACCTAAACCGTCCTGTAGAGATGGTGATAGAGAAGGGCACATCCTGCTGAACTCAGGGACATTGCAAAGTCTCTGATTGATCCAGGAGAAGCTCTTTTTTCTGGTGAAAGAGAAGCAGCCATTGAAGCTGCAGAAGGTTGGAACAGCCCCTGAACGGAAGAAAAGCAGGAGAGAGAGTGTGTCAAAATGGTGAGATAAATTTTACTANCTAAGCGGTTTACAGAGA